TGAGCTTGAAGATTCATCCTCCTCCTGATGCACGCCTACTAAATCTGGAGAACGCAGTAACCACGACCACAACGAACTATGACGTCCCACTCAAAGGCATCAACTACCACATGCACGCGAAGAATACCCCGTTAATATTTTCTCGCTTCGCTACTGCTACTTTTGAAGACAATACAAACCCAAGTCCGTACATTATCTCAATGGCAAACAATCACTCACTGGATTTCAGTTGCCTCGCCTTCGAGAACGAGACACTATCAGCTATGACCACACTACCGGGTGACGCCTGTACGGTGGGTGTCGGTACGTCGATACTAGAGGCCGCCAAGGTTGCACGTATTGAACTACCGTCACACACCGGATGAACAGTGAACTGTATCGCCCTATCAACGGTGTGTTCGGGGACTCCTCCCAGCTGGCGAGCGATCTCCACACAGTCGGGAATGGTTGTACTCCCAACTATCGAGTCATTTACTGCAGTACAGAAGGGAGTTGAGGCTACAGCAGCATTCTATACGCGAACGATCTAAAGTGGCCTAATCGTGGCGATCTGTTCGTGCTATCCATTCATTGGGGGCCGAATTGGGCGTATCGTGAACACGATGATTAGGTTTTTCGCCGTGAACATGCACACCGAGTTATTGATGAACTTGATGCCGATCTTATATACGGCCACTCGTCGCACCATATTCGTGGTATGGAGCTCTGCCGAGGCTAGTTAATCATCTATGGCGCTGGGTATTTAGTAAATGACTATGAGGGATTTACGAAACGCGCTGGTACAGCTTACAACACTTTGGGTGCGTTGTTTTTTTTTTGTGACGGGGTCACACAGCACCTTGCGCTGAGGAAGCAAGCTTCCAAGAGTATACAAACTCTAATTGAACGACAGTTCACGTGTCCCTGGGGACGAAGTACTCAGTTAAGGGTACGTTTAAGACTGAGTGTATCTATAGGTAAGTTTAGCTTGGTTTCTAATACAAACTGTAAGTCACCAATAGTAAAACTATGTAGATATGCGACAGAACCGGTAAAACACACATAACTAAGGTTTTACACACAGAAAATGAGAGAACACATACAATGTACGTGGTGCACATCAATGTCACGTCACACCACACCAATTGCATTGGTTAAAACACACCAAACTCGGGTGTCTACACATCACTCAATATTAGCGAATCACGACCTTAGTTAAGACAGTGACTGAGCCAATCACCGTCTTTAAAGCCATTTCCTAACAGCCTTCATCCAGCAAAACACTGAACTCTGGACTCCTCCCTCCCTCCCCTCTCTCAACGAAAGATGCCCACGACGACCATGTGGACAACTGTCTGTAGCGACATGGCTCGTGAGGACTCCCAGCTGCTCATGGAAGACATGAAGGTATTCATCGTTGTCAAGAGCCAGCTGGTTCCATGCGTCGTGTGTGCGCTGACCAAGCCACACAAGATGCGTTACCAACTGCTGAAGTGCTCCTCGGAAACATGCAAGGAAGCAGCACCGTATGACGAGTGTCTGTGGAAGGGGAAGGTGCTTACGTACCAAGGTTTGAACCGCGTGACGATCACGGAGACCGTTGCTCACGAGACACTGGTGAGGGAGCCCCAAAAACCCAAGATGACCCCTCGACTCAAGGACTACGGCCGTGAAATGGCAACTCAAGGGTTGAAGCCGGCTCGGATTCGCAATGGAATGGCACGGCGGTTTGGGCTGACGGAGAAGGAGATGCCGACGCTGCGTCAAGTGCAATGGTTCGTCAGCAGCTATTCAAAGAAGAATCTCCACCGCAATGACGACTATGACGAAATCC